CATGTCGGGAGAGATGCCCTCGGCTGCAGAGGACTAACCGAGGGCTCCTCAAACCGATGGCACCCTGGTGCCGAGGGCTCACAGTGCCGAGGGCTACTGTTTTTGCCGTTTTCTTCCAGTCTCTTAGTTTGCTTGAGAAACCCGTTCTGTGAGAGTTTAGAGCCTTCGGCCAGGGGGGCGAAGGCACCCCTGGCGCGTAGTGCGGGTTGCTTGGTACTCTGGGCGCCGTGATTTGGGCCTGTTGGGCCTTCTGGGCCTGTTGGGCCTCCACTGGAGTAGTAGGAGTCTGTGGGCCGGGTGTTCCCGGGCCATATACTCCATCATGAGTGCTTTGTTGAATGAATGTAAATCAACACACAGTGTATCCATGTTCATAGGTTGTGTAATCCTCCTACGTCCAGTCCCACCCTCTTTTAGATGGATTTCACTAAAGTATTAAGCCTAATACACTTAGTGTCAATCTAGCCTTTACAACACTTAGGCCTAGATTGAAGGTTTTTCACAATGAGTATAGCACCACTCAAAGTTACTCAGTCCTTAGACTTTTCTCTAATGAACCAGTGGGGGTCAAAAGGTACTCTATCTATCTACTTACACTTTAGGATCCGAACAACTGTTATCCTAAGTGTTTACAACAATTTGTGAAATGTTACAAGAAAGTTCTAACCTCCAACTAGGAACTAAACTTCTATGATTTAGCAATGAATAGCTTGTAAACTGGAAGTTTAGTGAAGCATGAGTCCAAGCAGAGAGTAAAGTTTAGAATAGCACTTTCTCTTTTGCTAGATAGCTCGTGAATGCTCGTGAAAGAATTTCTCTACTTTGGATGCTCAAAGCTTGGTTAGAAACTTTCGTTTCAGCCTATATTTATAGGCTTCTCCTTTGGATTAATCTCATCCGTTGGTTAGGATGAATTAATCTCTGACGTTGAAATTCTTGCAAGGACGAATTGTACATTCGTCTTCTTGTGCTGGAGCATTTATTTGGGATGATTTCTTTGTCTTGAGTATCTCAGCCGCTGAAGCATCTCTTCGGAAACTCTTCTCATAATAATAATAATACATGCGTCTTATGCTCCGGTCCCATGTATTAATTGCCAGTCAATTTTTTGTCTTCAATCATTTACATTCAATGTTTTTGATTTTCGGAGCTCCTTTTCTTTAAAATGTGACATACAATTAATCTTTGAGCTAAAATAATATATACCAGTAGGATCTAAATATCCTATAAAGGTAAATAAAAATTACCTTATTGCATTTTAACTTTTCCGGTAATATTTAATTCCACTCAAAAATTGTACATTTTATTTTGTCACATAATTTTGAATGCTAACATATGAACAATATTGAGACACATGTACACGTGCTAAGTATAGTGGCATCATCAAAATCTATCAAAATTGGGTACTAACACATGTGCTTCATGGAGATGATGGCCTCCAGGTCCTCTAGTGCTGGTCGCCCCCATATCAGATTGTGGACGCACTCGAGGTTGACCACCATGAACTCCATGTCAATCTTGATGCGATGGGAGCCGTCGTCGACTTCCACGGGAAGGATTATCGTGCCCTCAGCGTCGATAGAGTCCCCGGTGAAGCCGGACAACGGTGTCCATATCGGCTTGAGTAATGCCCTGTCCAAGTTCAGCTGCTTGAAAGTGTCCAGGAACATGACATTGACGGAGCTCCCCGTGTCGATGTAAGTTCGATGGATGATAGAGTTGCCTATCTCACATCGGACGACGAGGGCGTCTCTGTGTGATGCGGGGCCTGGAGGCAGATCCTTGTCGGTGAAGGTGATCGCCTCCATCCGCTGCTTCTTCGGCTGGGGGGAGCGTGGGATACCTCCCTAATATAAAGGGATTGTGCCCATTTCTTCCTCTGGGTGGCTGAGTCCCCCCCAGTGTTGCCCCCCACAATGAGGTGGATGTGGTTTTTCTTCGGAGGGGGCTCTTCGAAGTCTTCCTCATCATCGCTGAGTCTGCCAATCTCACGCTTCTTCGTAGAGGGTTTGCCCCCATTTTTGTCGTTGTTTACCCACGTATTTTTGTGTGGGCCACCTTTAACAAATTGGGAGAGTTCTCCCTGACGAATCAGCTTCTCGATGGATCTCTTCAGCGTGATGCAGTCGTCTGTGTGGTGGGAGGTGTTCCTGTGGTAATGGCAGTAGGTACCGCCCTGATGGATGGCGTAGATTTCCTTTGCCGACCGAGGATCACGTTCAATGAGATCATGTTCCTCGGCATAATCGAGGATGGAGCTGATCGAATGAGTGAGGGGGTCTTCCTGTTCTGACCACCATACATGTGGCGCTCTGTCCTCCCTGACCTCGCTCCCCAGCCGAGGGTGCGCCTGGAGCTGGCGCAGTGCTCGTCTTCTTGGAGGGGTGCCCTCCATCCTTCTTGTGGCTATGGAGCTCGTCGACGTCAGCGTATAAGTTTCCTCGCTGGAGGGCCTTCGTATAGGACCATGGAGGGTCAGTGATGAGACTTCTCGCATATGGGGTGTTGCGGAGGGCGCCCTGGAAGAGGACGAGGAGGGTGCGCTCATCGGCCCCCTCAACCTCATCGGTCTCCCTCGTCCATCGGTCGATGAACGACTGGAGTAATTTGTCATGTTGCTGCTTGACAGAGAGAAGATGGGTGAAATATTTCTTCACGCGCTTCCTCCCAGCAAAGTGCGTGAGGAAGCGTTGGGCAAGATCCTGCCACGAATCTATGATTCCTTCGGGGAGCGCGTTGAACCACTCGTACGCTGGCCCTTCAAGAGTGGAAAGGAACCAACGGCAGAGGTATTCATCCGACGCATTCACCATCAGCATGTTGTTCTGATAGCGGCTGAAGTGCTCCTGAGGGTCAGAGCGGCCATCATAGGGATTGATGGCGTTTCCCCTGTACTTCTCGGGGATGGGAGCCGAGAGTACCCTGGCAGTGAAGGGAGTCCTCGTCCTGACTTGGACAATGGGGTCTCGTCGTCCTTCGGCCAACTCCCTCTCAAGGATGCTGACCTTGTGCAGGAGGGCGTTGAAACCAGGATCCCTGGATGAGTTGCCATGCAGGTAGCAGCCAGCTGTTTGGCCTCCATCTGAGCGAGCCTCCGCTCTAGTTGGGCGATGACCTCGTCCCGAGGGTCCTTGGCGGCCATGGTGGCGCCTTGCGTCTGCAAGCGGGCTGCGTGAGCCGTGTTGATTTGGTGACGTGTGTCACCCTAATGTAGCTTGCCTTTGCCTTTGTCCAGGCGGGGCCGATCCGCTATTCGGGATACGGACCCCAAGCTTTCCCTCGGTGAGCCAGGCTCACGTTCACCAATCCGTCCTGCCATCCTCTCCGAAACAGGCCGACGGCGCGTGTCACGTAGCCTATTAAAGGCTGAGGCTCTTCCACGCGCTGGGGCCGGTCCAGTTCGAAGTGGGGAAGCGGGGTGGGAGTGGGATGACGACGTGTCCTGGGGCACCACCCCTTCGTCGTTGCCTAGCTTGATGGCCAACAACTGGGGTTGAGGAGGCGGTGTAGTGTTCTCCCCAATCCTTGGCATGAGTGCGTTAAGGATGGTGGGGTTCTGGGCCAGGCTGGCGATGATGGCCGAGAGCGCGGCTTGGAGCTGAGGGTCAACGGCAGGAGAAGCCGGTTGCTCTGAGTCATTGTTGCCCTTCTCCAAGCGCTTCTTGTCTAGGTCGATGCGGGCGTCGGGGGCACCACCGTTGAGCTGGTGGCGAAGATCATTTGTGAGGTCGATGGCCTCCTGGAAAACATCCCCGCCCGCAGCCTTGTCGACTGTGGCCTCCTCCTCGTGTTCTCTGTTCTCTTGGGCCTCAGGGATGGCCTTGCCGAGGAGGTTACGGTTGGACTTTGTTCTTCCCATGATCAGTTAGTTGTGCTTGGTAGCGACGGAGTCATGGCCGATGGAGACCCGGCCGACGGGGACACTCGGTTCTCCTGGCTTCTGAACCATTTTCTGAGTTGATATATTTCTAGCCGATGGAGGGCCATCTGGACGACAGAGGCCCCATTGGGTGACAGTTGTGCCTCTTATTCTTATGAGTATGTGGGTCCTGGGGTCTAGACCCATATACTCCATCAAGACTATCATTTTTTATTCTCTAAAATAGAAGTAATTATTGCCAAAACATGACAATAATTACTCGTATTTAGGAAATAAAACACCAAATTCTTATTTTGGAATATAAAAACGGTTTTATTCCTTTTAGGATAATTTCTCATATATTTATTATACTTCATAATTCTTATTTTAAGTAAGTATAATTTACTATCTATCTTGGTAATAAGATCAAGATAGTGTTTCGCCCATAGGCCCAAAACTTGACAGGACCAGCCTCGTGGCTAGCTCTCGCAGACTTTTACATAAACTAAATGTAGTAAAAATGTGTAAAAATAATGTGAATAATCTTTATTCCTACCTAACAACATATTGCATTCGCCAAATAATATACACAATCCAAAAAATTCATGATTGAGTTTTGAGACAATTGTAGTCAAATAGGTAGTAATATATTTTTGCAATGGTGAAAGAGTTTGATATATTTATCAAATTTACATCGTATTTTTATCAAATCAACAGAACTTTTGGCATATACTACGTATAGAGAAACTAGATCTTAGATTCAATGTCTTAATTTATTTTTATTTTTTTACCAGAATGAGACTTGTAAATGAACCATGTGTGTAGAGGAGGGCCGATAGAAAATTTTGTGCAGATAAATTGTAACACGAAACACATTCTAAAATGCAGTATACAAATATAAAGAAGACAGTGAGTTATATAAATCATTAATATAATAAATAAGTATAGTAAAAGGCTTAAAGAAGGTTCAATTCTTGTCAATCGCTCATCACTCGAATTGCTGAACAAATTTTCAATTAGTTAAGTCTAAAACAAACACTTGGAAGGCATGCCACAAAGAATTCCTACAATTGTGCATATAATTCCATGGTTGTAAGTTCTTTTCTCTCCTTATAAATGGATCATAAACATATTGTAACCATCAATGTCTACTTTCATCTGAAAGTAAAAAAAAAAATAACTCTTCAATAAAAATTACTTAAGCAAGAAATAAAAAAAAAACATGGGTCTCAAGGTGATTCAAGCTGCATGGATGTTGTTCTATGTAGCATATGTTGTTGTTAGCGTCCAGAGCGCTGAATTTAACGTCAAAACCTATGGAGTTAAAGGTGATGGTACATCCGATGATAGTGAGGTACATATAAACGATTTACAAAGTAGATATAATGAATATATTTGTATGTCAAACTCTAATATGTATGATGAATGGTTTGGTTTTTGAATTAGGCAATTCTTAAAGCATGGGCAGATGCATGCAAAGCAACAGATAAAAGCACTCTTGTAGTTCCTGCAGGAAAGTACATGGTAGGTCCCATGAAGTTGATGGGCCCATGTGGGAATCCCATAACTTTTCAAGCCGATGGTGCAACTTTTATTGCACCAACTGATCTCACAAGGTTTAAAGGACAAGATGGGTGGATCCTTTTCTATGGCATTGAAGGTCTCACTATCTCCGGTGGTACTCTCGACGGTAAGGGACAAGACGCTTGGAAAGCAAACAACTGCAAGAAGAGTTTCAGCGGAAATTGCAAATTCCTCCCCATTGTAAGTATGAGGCATTTCTGTGTTTGCATGGCAATGTAGCAAATAAGTACAAATCTGAAATGAGAAACAACATCTTTTAATAGAAAATAAGTGCGCGCTCAGCGGTAACCCGAGAGTTTTCGTAGTGTTTGAGAACCGGAAACATACACTTTCTAAGATTTGGGCTTCATAGTTCACAATTATTCAATTAACCTACGTCATTTTAATGTGTTACAGAACTTGAATTTGGGAGGATTGACAAACGCGGAAGTGAAAGGCGTAACTTCTTTGGACAGCAAATTTTTCCACATGAACGTCATCCAAGGTAAGAACGTGACCCTTAGTGACATCACCATCACGGCACCGGCCGACAGCGCGAACACTGACGGCATCCACATTGGTCGCTCTGACGGAGTTTCAATCCTCGGTGCAACCATAAAGACCGGTGATGATTGTGTATCTCTTGGGGATGGTGCCAAGCAGGTTAACATCGAGAACGTGAATTGCGGGCCAGGCCACGGGATCAGCATCGGAAGCTTAGGAAAGTACAAGGATGAACAGCCGGTGGAAGGAGTGACCGTGAAGCACTGCATCCTAACCAACACAGATAACGGCGTGAGAATTAAGACATGGCCGGCGTCACCAGAAGGGACGGCCTCCGGCATGCACTTCGAGGACGTGACCATGGAGAACGTAAGCAACCCGATATTGATTGACCAAGAATACTGCCCATGGAACCAATGCACCGCCGGTGTTCCATCCAAAGTGAAGATCAGTGACGTCAGCTTCAAGGGCATTAAGGGTACGTCTGCTACAAAAGTGGCTGTGAAACTCGCCTGCAGCAAAGGAGTGCCGTGCGAGAAGGTAGAGGTGGGTGATATCAATTTGGAATACAAAGGAACCAATGGCACCGCCATCTCTGAATGCAACAACGTCACACCTACGCTCACTGGCAAACAATTCCCTGCTATTTGTGCGCCTGGTGCGGCCGCAGCCCCAGCTTAAATAAATAACTATATTTAACCATAACACCAATTAATTAATAACAAGATATATAGTTAATATAAATAATTTATTGTATTATATCGGCTAGCATGTTTTGATACATGTATAGAAAGATCAGAGAGGTTGAGTGAATGAGGCAAATTCATTCACTACTCCCTTAGTGTAATGTTTAATTTGTATGCACGACTGAGTGGTGATATATGTCGTTATTAGTTTATCATTGCAAAGTGTGACCGTCACACGGATCAAGAAAGAATAGAAATTAGTATTTGTTTTCCCATTTTACCCTCCCAAGCTCACACAATGAAGAGAACAAACCCAACGAACAAACCAATTAATTGGAAAACTAAATTTTTTAAATCAAGTACAACTTTTGTGAGATGTGCATTACTGTTCGTCCTTCTACATGGCTTATTGGAAAAAAAGTGAAACAGGGCAGTCAATGGCATCCTATCTTTGTCCAAGAGCATCTCCACCTTCTTTGACAGATATGTCAAGTTTCCAACTGTGGGTGCATCAATCCCTATTGTTTTCAAAAATGGAATCCATATTTGCTCAAAGTTCTTGGGTTGTGAGTCGGGTTCCTCATCTTGAATATGATCATCCACAATTGGCATTTCTGGGGGGCTTCATCACCATCTGAAATTAACAGCTCCCTCATGCGTGCATCCCGATAAACACAAAATTCATGCATCCGACGAGCTCTTGAAGACGGGTGTTCTTTACTTGAATCAATTACTGCCAATTCATGAAGGAAAGTTTCTGAATAACTGCCAAGTCCACCAACTCTCTGCTTTTTGCACCCAACCATTTCCAAGTATTTGGAAGACAATTTAGCCGATGCGATCTTGGGTGTTGTCGAGCTTTCTTCTTGACTTGAAGGTTGAGACTGTTGTTGGAAATCGTCTTGACAAGCATTAAACAATTTCCTCAAAGACTCCTATAAAACAAAAATAAAAAACATAAGTAAACCTGCAAAAAATGAACAGATTATGCAAAGGGATGACCACACTATGTCCAACAGATTATTCCTTCAAAGAAGCTTATGATAGGAAATCATCTAGCATCAAACTATGTCCACCACACAACCTACTCTTCTTTCAACTACACCACTATGGTCATGCCTAAAAGCATGGTGCTGTTTTAGTTACATGTCATTTTATAAAATCAATCATCGGTTCTACTAATTAAATGTACAATAAACCTTAGAAAAAGATCATTCCAACATATGATTTTCCAACTTGCACAAAATCACGAAGACGAGCTTCCTTTAGTGACGGATTTTAGTGACGGGTATATCCGACACTAATTAGAGACGGATTATTATGTCACTGCTATCCGCCACTAATAAGTGTCTACAACGTAACCATCACGCGTTCCGTCACCAAATAGTGGCAGCTTTATTCGGACGCCAAACGTTGGCAGATGAGCATCCGACATTAAATCCGACACTAATTACCGTCAGATTTTAAATCGAACACAAAAATCCGACAGTAATTTACGGATTTCTTGTAGTGTTGGAATTTGAGAGAGAAAGTGGGTGGATGTGATGGGTGAAAAAGTTACGTGTTTGGTGAAAAAGTCGGTTGATAAGGCTGATAAGCCAAAATAAAGAGTCATCAAACGGCTCTTAGTATGATAAAATTCTGCTAATATTTTACTTCTGAAAAAGTGACAAACAAAAATGTGATTTAATAACTACTCCCTCCGTTCCCAAAAATACTTCCCACTTTCCATTTTGGGCTGTTCCCAAAAATACTTCTCATTTTCCCCTGTTGGACAATTTGTGTGGCTCACATTCATTTTACCTTTTTCTTACACAACCACAACCATACATTTCCACTTTATTCCACTTTCTTAATAAGCGTGCCAAGTCAAACCGGGAAGAATTTTTAGGAACGGAGGGAGTATTAGTGACTAGAAGTTTATACCATAATAAGGATGTTTTTACTTGGACTGTAATTTGATGGTCTGGTCTAGTCTGGTCTGGTCTGATCTGGTCTGGTCTGGTCTGGTCTGGTCTGGTCTTGTCTGGTCTGATTTCTTTGTATTTTTATAACTATCCAAGTCTGGTCTTGTCTGGTCTGGTCTGGTCTGATCTGGTCTGGTCTGGTCTGGTCTGGGACGAATTACGGTCCAAGTAAAAACATCCTAACTAGATTTAAGTGATACCATACGGATAATAACTAAAGTTACTATATATGAATACATTTTTATAGTCACTTTGATGTAAAATTGAAACATAGTTATAGTCGATAAAAGTTATAAAACACAATTTTGTCTACTATCATTATTTTGGTCATGCTTTAGGAATTACGGAGTATTTCTTAACTCTTAAAATTAAACTCCAAAGTGTGAATGAAATTGCTTTTTATTTCAGTTTTAATTTATATGAACCTCCTTCATCAAATTAGACTGCTTTAAGCTAGATGGAGTGGGCTACATTTTATTTACAGATAAGTTTGATTGCTACTCTCACATTCGACACACTTGCTTGTAGATAAAACATTCTTCAAATAGTATGTCATTTTATGTATTTTTTCTTGGAGCAATTCTTGTTGGGTTTCTTCTACAGGCATCTTTCATCTGGAAGTAATATTGTTCTCCCCAAGAGAATGAATTGAAGTATTTTATTTAAGTGCCTTAGATTTGGAAGTACGTAATATCGTTCTTCCAAAGACAATGAATTGAAGAATTTTTTTAAGTGCCTTAGATTTGGTTTAAGTACTCAAATTGAGTGTCTTTCCATCTGTTCCAGACCAATCTTTTTATCTTTACAAAAGAAGTGTATGGTTTATGGTTAATAGTTTTTTAATCCCTTTAGTATTATCTCATTCAAAATATCGATCATTTTGAACCATGTACTTCCTAATAAACCTTTCAAGTAAGAACATGATTACTATTACCAACAAAACTATTATTCCTTAAATATTACTACCTCCGTTCCACTAAGATTGGGACGAGAGAAGGTGACACGATTATTAAGAAAAGTGAGTTTGTGTGGTTGATATTAAATTGATAAAGTAATAATAAAGTAAGAATGATTTAGAGCCACACAATCTTTAGCAAATTTGGTATGGGACAATCTTAGTAGGACTTCCCGAAAAGATAAAATGGGACAATCTTAGCGGGACGGAGGGAGTACTATGTAGGATGTTTTTACTTAGACTGTAATTTGTTGGTCTGGTCTAGTCTGTTTAAGTCTGGTCTAGTTTGGTCTGTTTAAGTCTGGTCTGGTCTGGTCTGGTAAACGTCTGGTCTCTATGTATTTTATAACTACGGAGGTCAAGTCTGGTTGGTTTAAGTCTGATCTGGTCTGGTCTGTTTACTGGTCTATTTAAGTCTGGTCTGAGACTGAAAACAGTACAAGTAAAAACATATGAGCTACGTTTTCCTTAAATATTATTAATAAAAATGTTATTGATAAAAATGTGACTTTAAATCAAAGTGACACTAGTTTTATTTTAGTTATATTTTAGGGGAGAATCTTTTTTTGAGAAAATTCCCTAAATAGAACTAAAACAATGATAAAATGCATAAATTGAACTATCATTGGTATATATATATATATTCCCAAAATAAGACTCGTCCACTCCTGTTGAAGGTAAATCCCGTAGATCCGAAAGCCCAACACGAACTTTGGATATATCAGGAATGGTACAGAATCAAAGTGTATAACCAAAATATAAAATATGAACTCACTAATACTCGAAAGCTCACTTCTATTAATTAACCAGTCTGATTACAAGGAAATTCCCGACCGGTAGGTCGGAAACAATGCTTTAATACAAGAAATAAGAGCAATAATGTTATTCTAGAGCCTGAGTATTGAAATGCTAACCCTTACAATGATTTTAAACCTTCTATTTATACTAATGGAGAACACGGGCTGCTCTATGCTGATTGACTATTGTTCCACCGACTTGGTCACCCATGTTTCCACTTGCTGATGTCACAATCTGGCATTAATTGCACTTGGCCACTTGCCGGTTGTCCGTTGCTTGAACGGGATGTTGGACCATGCTGAAGACGCTGCCAAATTGGCCCAAGTATGATATATAGTCTGAAGCCCGTTCGGTATATCTTCTTTCTGGGCCGGCCTTTAATTGGACCGAACTCCGTTCGGTATATCTTCTTGCTGGGCCAACCCTTTGTTGAGCCGAATCTCGTTCGGCATGAATTCTTCATAGAGTGATGGGCTCGCCGTTTGGGCCGGGTATCTTGGGCCTTCTTGATCCAGGTATTGGGCCTCTGGATCAATATCCCAACACAAGTCCCCCACTTCCGATGTCTCGAATGACAGTGAGTGCATTAGGAAGTATGAACACCAATGTTTGCAATTTGCCGAATGGCGATCGGGGTACAGAAGTAGTCAGTTCCCCATGCTAAGATTTGACGGCTGCCGTTTCATTTCCCCATATTCATCATGGTAACCGTCGTTTAGTCTTTTCATTAGACACGCGTTTAGCTTAAATGCTCCTAGTGACGTGTTGCTCCCTGATTGGTTCTTGACACGGCGGTTTAAAGGCTATAAATTAGCCTTTAACTTCTCAAATCCGGGTTTCGATTCTGCAATTCTCTTCGCTTTGCCGGTTTCTGAAATTTCTCCCAGCCCTCGTCGTTCAGGTACTCTCCCTCCCTTGCTTCCTCGCCTCATCCCTGACTCGGTCGAGATGAATTCCCAACAGTGTTCTGATTCGGAAATGGCTTCTCAAGGGGAGGACCGTGATGTGGAGGTTATCACTGTCCCCTTTGATGAAGGTTCCAAGGCAACGACGGCGGAGGTTAGGGCGGAGACGGGCGACTCCTCTGGCAGTTCTTCTTCCTCCAGTGAAGATTCCGACGATACCAAGTCCGAGGACGAATTAGCTTCCATGGCGGCCGGACGTCCTAACGATTTCCCTCGCCATACCCTTGACCTAAAACTGATTAGGGAGAGGCGGCAAAAACTGACCTCCCACAATAGGGCCGAAATTCCGGCCATTATCCCTGACCCAGTGAATTTCCGTCTGCAAGCTAGGCTTCACCCAATGCGTCATAAGCCCGGAATGATTGTAGTTCATTTTGACTCAATTAGGGCCGGCCTTAGGTTTCCGCTACATTCTTTTTTCATTTCATTTTTCAATTTCTATGAAGTTGTACCGGCCCAAATTATGTCGAACTCCTATCGGGCAATGGCGGTTTTATTTGTCGTTGTAAAGATGCCGGTGCCCGACCAACCTTAGAAC